CGTTGTTTCAGTGCTAAAAAAATAAAAAATTTGTTTTTTTTGTTTTTTGTTTTTTGAGGAATAGAAAAAATTGGTTTAGAGTGAGAAAGTGAAGAATCTTTGTGTCTAGTACTCCTACAATTTTCCTCGACCAAATCAGGCCCTCAAAAAGATTGACCAATCCCTCAAACTCTTGAAGAATATCACTCCGTTTGAGAAAAGGTAAAAGCATTTATTATTAACTTTTAGTTTTGCGTGGCCCTGGATCCAATGACTAGGATATATATTTATATATAGAAATCCTCCTTCCTGTTTAAGAATCCAAAGAGCTCTTCAAAAAAAAAAGAAGAAAGAATCCAAAGAGTTGCTCCCGTGGAATCGAATCACAGACCCACTCGTCATTACGTTCCATGTTAATCTGACTTTTGAATAGCCTGACAGAGACTATTCTGTCCTCCTTAATCCTATCACAATAATAATAATGTTGTGTGTGTGTGTGTGTGTGTGTGGTTTGCTGTTGAGCTCAGAATCCGGATCGGGGGGGGGGGGGGGGGAGAATATTCCTTCATACCTGGTAACAAATAAGGTTCTTGCTTCTTACTTACCTGCCATGACCATTCATCGAGGCCATGCGGATCTGAATCATCATTGAGATTGAAACACGTGGCTCTTCCGGTCGAGTTGTAGTAGACGTTAGCTGCACCGTACAGCTTCTCAAACGTATTACTATTGTTTCCCGCTTTTCGATCGTCAATCGCCTTGCACATCTGCAGCGAAACATTCACAGAGGTTTGACTTTGCAAATTTAGTTTCACCCTGTCCTTCCTCTCGTCTTCGAGAGCATATTATTATTGATGAAGCTGGGTCGGGTCTCTCCGGTTCAAGTTCTGTTGTTGACTTGTGCAAACTAATAAATAATTGTAAATCTTTGTACCGACTTAATTACGCATAATTTATATTTACATTAATAAAATTGTGGTAACAGATTACACAGAATTGGAGATTGATTCATTTGCAATTAAGTGTAACAACCTTATTGCAATTGTTTGAGGGCGGTTGGTGAGAAATGATGTGCACCCAATTGACGTAACAACAGTACCTTTCTTGATTAGATTACGTTGCCCAGTCCGATGGACAAACTGAGCAGTGAGCTTTGTCAAGATATTTCAAATTAAAGCGACTAGTGGTTGTTAAGAATAATACAATACGTCCAAATGCCAGCTTAATCCTGGATGTGTAATTAATGTGTTTCCCGCAAGCATTAGCATTAGCATTAGCAAGAGCCATTTTCCTGCAAATTTTTTAAGGCTTTCAAAACGTAGTAGTGTAGTACGTACCTGCTTCACCGGATAGGCTGGCAAAGGATTGAGAAAATTGGATGGAGTTGGGTAATCCGTCATGGCCGTGTAAATAAACGCGGTGGATAGCCAACTTACAAGAGCACCCGCACTGATGTAGTTCCTGTGATTCGATTTCATTAAAGCTGCATGTATTGAAATTGTTGGTTGATGATTGATGGCACATGTACTTCTAATTACTTGCATATTCTGAAGGACTTCCGGAGTGTGTCCAGGCCGCCCGATTGTTCTGCAGTGTCTTCTATTAGTTGCCACGATCCTTTTATCACTTTGTAGCAGTTCTCGCTCTCGCTCTGTTGTCACATGCCACAATGTCGCTGTTAATCATACATAACTAATAATATATACACCCGCCGCCAACATTTTCCAGTGTCAAACAAACTAACATGCATATGTACAACTTCATCGTTGGACTCTAAATATTGACACGATTCTTTCAATATATATATATATCCGATTGTACTTTTCTTCTTAATTTAACTTTATCTTGAAGCTTGACCTGGCTGGCCGGCCGGCCGGCCGGTGTCTTTTGCTTTGGACGTATGATACTAAAAAATGACCACTACCGAGAGAGACGAAGGAAGAGAGAGAGAGAGAGACATGCCCTGAAATCATTGCCGACGGTGCTGTGGAAGCTGTATTCAGATGTTATGTTGTCAAAATAGAGGATTGGTGCAGAGGATGCCAGGGCTCCTATTGCAACGTGCGGATACTTTAGTCTGAACCAAGCTGCAAGCACTGTCAGGATCAAACCAATTAAACTGCTCGTGACCATCAGCTCACTCAAATTAATTCCGACTAGAAAAAAAGAAAACCAAACGCACGCCAAATAAATAATGCCATACTTCCCCCGTAGGAGCCTCCAAACACTACCACGGGCGAATCAACTGCACTCAAATTCTTTTTGAGGTCAATGATCAAAGTTGCATAATCTGCCAATGCCTGCGTGGAGCTCAAATATCCCAGAGTACTTGAGTTTGCATAAGCCGCGTCTTTATTGCCCCCGAACGGTATCGATTTTCCATAAAATCTATGCTGCAGATTGATTTGATTTTGTACATGAATTCCAAAAAAAAAAAAAAAATCTTCCCATAATCAAAGCGTGTACTGAACTCTGTTTCCGTGAACATGATGATGTGCATGAAAACACGATAGGATGGATATGAAACAGTAACGATTCATAACTATGTGACATGTTTTCTTTCCGCCCCATTATGTTGCAGCCAGGCCTTTAACTAGTATTTCTGGAACAAATAAGATACAAATTACCTCGATGAAAACTAGAAGAGCTTTGAAATGAGGCGCGTTCTCGAACATGAAACCTGTATTTTGAGTAAACCACTCGATGTCTCCTTCATTTCCCGTATAGACGAAGATTGGGGCATTTTTCTTAGCGCCGCCCCAGTGTTTGTAAGAGATTAGATATCTCTGTTGAAAGGTTTGATAACTCTGGGGAGTAAAAGTGAAATGATCGAGTATTTGAGTGTAGTATTTTGTTTCGTAAAGCTTACTTTTGATGGAAACAGATGACGATGATTCTGGCCGGAAGGCGGGAGAAGGAAACCTCAAGGTAATCTTGGCCGAAGAAATGAGAAGAAGTTGCAACGTCAGAAACAACAATCTCAATCTGGTACCACCCATAGCCATGAATTTTTGTGTGCGGTGGTGTGTGTGTGTGTGTTTCGGAGAGCTCTGGGCGAGTTTGTTCTTCCTTCTTCGGAAGGGGGGCGTCGTTAAAACAACGCAGAGGAGATGAGACCAAATTAAGCTGTATTGGTGCCTCGCCTCGTTGGAATATTAAACTTCCTTTTTTTTTTTTATACTATATCTTAAAAAAGCAGATTCGGAGTTGACGATCGCGGCCATACCAACCAGCCAACCAATTATGATCCTGGTCAGCATTAGTCACGACCACTAATTTGTAATTACCCTGTGCCCATCCAAGCCTACCCTTTCTATATTGCCCGAACGAATATGATAGAATCACGTTCGATCATAAACTACCATGCTCTCACGAACCAATCACTACCATGGTTCGCCATCGCAGGTCGCGGTCGCGTCGCAATCTCAGTTGTTTCACTGCATATCGGTTGAATATCGGGTGATATGAACATTATAATACATTAAAGTTTCCAAAAATTTTGAAAAAATTACTAAAATTAGAAAATACTGAAAAAGACACAATTTAAAAAAATATCGGAGTCGACTCCGAGTTGACTCGGATATATCGACCGATATCATGTATCACGGATTTGAATCGGTCAATATCGGCCGAGTCAGAGCGAGTCGTCGCGGATATGGTGATATCCGCGATTCGGGGATCGGTATCGTACCGGTCCCTTCCGTTCCAGATACGACTCGGCCAATACGTATCGGTACCGGCCGATATGGCGAACCATGATCGCTACATTTATCTTCATATTATTTTAATAAAAAAGAAGAAAATTATATTAAGCGAATTGAATTGCTGAAAGTCGTCAAACACGATGATTAGCTTGGCTAATCTGTATGTATGTATACCCATATAAAGAACATGTACAAAGAAAAGAGAAATGAAAAATAACGAATTCAATAATGTTTGAAGAGCAAATATTTTACAAAAAAAAAAAAAGTTTGCAGAGAATAAGAATCTTGTCAGTCTACAATTAATTTTAATTAATTTACAAATTATCAAAGTTAATTTTTGGTCTTTTCTTTTTTGACCCATTTCAACAGAAACCAATTCAGACAGTCCTGCCTTCAAAAGAAATATCCTTTTAACATTTTTAGACTAAAACGGTAGGAAGATCAAAGATGAGGCCAGCAACATTTCAGGAAAGAGGAACATTAGTTGATGAAATAGCAAAAAATCTCATTAGGTGTCGAAACGTTTAAAAAATCATCTTCCTCACTCACACTACTGTCTGTCAATGCGAGAGGATTAACATCATTCACAGGATCGTGTCAAAAGCTCTTAGACAAAAACTGAGACCACAATTGATGGACGTGTTTTTTTTTTTTTTATTCTTTTTCTATTTTTTTTAATAACAATTGATTCCCTTCCTTATTTATAGCAAGGTTTTTATTATTTATAGTCAATTTCAACAAATCTAATTAATGATTTGTTTTATATAAATTTGTATTAATTGTACCCTATTTATTTTTTTTCAAACAATTTCAATCACATTCTATATTCCTGATATCGGTTCGCGTTTTTCAATCACATTCTTTTATGCGGGGTTGTAAAAGTTCTCTCAAATTACTTTTCTTAATTTTTAATAATTTAAGTAAATAATAAGTTCATCATCTATTAGCTTGCTTTTAAAACTCTTTTTAGTCGTGAAAGAATAAAATATTTAAGGACACTTATTTCCTAATATATCTCCTTCACCATTAATTAGAGTAAACTTTACAATATACGATTATATTAAAACTAATTATTAAGTTGTTATAAATTAATCATTTTAATGTTTGTCTTACAATTAGTATATTAAATTTTTCTCAAATAGCATTTTAAGCTTTTTTTATAAACAAATTTTGTTTCGAAAAAATAAAAATTGCGGAGTATAAAAAAAATGCCCATGCAAATGCACAGGAAAGAAACTGGTGTGCTAATATTTTCAAGCGTATTTGTGCATTTGCTTGGGCATTATCTCATGAGAAGAAGCCAAAATAAACATGATGGTTTAAAACCGCAAGAAGATTAAAGCATGATTAACTCATTAGAATCAGAGACTTTTGTACAAGTCACACTCAAAACTGACACAATTTTCTACAAAAAGAAAAAAAAAATTACAAAGACAGATTCCTCTAACAGATGAGCTGAGAACTTTCCAAGCATAACTAACAAGATGTTAATTCTTTCTTTTAAACACTCCAATTTGTCTCGATCTGCGGAGCTATCCCAGGTCCACAGCCTTCAGTGCCAGTCTGCAAACATTAGTTTCTGAAGCAAGAATTTACCGTCTTGATCTTCTTGCAGACTGTCCATCTCCTCTGCTTTCTGCCAGTCTTGACTTTGAGCCACTTCCCTGCGAAAAACTATTCCTCTCTTGAACAGCACCATGAGGATCTCTTGAAGGCCATGGTTGCTCCCACTGTCTGGTTGGGCTCATAAAATCTCTAGCTGATCCTGTCCTGGAATTAGACAATAATTGGTCCCTAAGGCCCTTCACAGACTTGTACCTTTGTGTCTCATCTGCAGAGCTTTTTCTCTGAGCTTGCTTCTCGAGTTCAGAGAACCTCTCCCTGTCTATACCATCTGCTGGGTTTTGCATGCCTCTGGATTTAAACCCCCATTCAGCGGTGTCTGAAGTGCTCCTTTGGAGAGACGAGCTTCTCCTAGGGATCTGTCCAGTAAAAGAGTTCCTCCCCTTCCCTTCAGCTTCAACAGAGATCCTCCTGAATTCAGAACCAGCAGCAGATGCATGGGCCCACTTATATGCCTTGCTGTTATTGTCCATGTTCAATTCTATAGGATGTAGCTCACTCTCAGCTGAGCCTTCGTCAGCGTCCTCCACCTCTCCTCCATCATCTTTTTCTTCACTCAAGTAAGTACTGCATTGATTCCTACTTAAGCATGCCGCTATATCTTCACCGTTGCCAAAATTATGAGAGTCGCTTCTTTTTTCTTTACCTTTCTTTTTCCCCAGGAAAGCTTCAATTTGTTTCTTTAGCTTGTCAACAGCAGTATCTTTCTCCTCAAACTGGTGTTTAGCATCTCTCTCCTCACGCAGTGTACCAGCTAAATGGAGCATCTCTCTTTCCTTTTCAATCTCTTCACGGACCTTTTCTGCATCTCTCTTTAGCACTTCCACAGCTCTATCCTCATCAACATCCCTAGCTAACTCATCATATACTTGTTCCATTATCTCCCTGGTTCGTTTCTCACTCTCAAGTTCTTTGACTGCTTTCATAAATGATGCTTTTGTCTCTGATAGTTCTTTTCCAAGTTTTTTGTTCAAGCTCTCAAATCGCGTCCTTAACTTCCTCTCCACCTCAAGTTCACCTGCAATGGTATCAATTGCAGACTCAACAGCTTGACGCTCTTTGCTTTTCCATGCAGCCTTCTCCTCAGCAAAACACTTGATCATATAACTAATTTCATTTTGGTCCATATGTTGTTCTTGTATAAGCTGATTAACCTGCAGGCGAGCCCTCTCAAGCTCAGCATGTAATGCAGAAACAAGAGACATGCTAGACGAAGGTTGATCAGCATTAGCCCAGATGCGATTGATAATTTTTAGCAGCTCTTTTGATGTGGTCAAAGCATTACTAACATCCTTCAGACGGTTCCTTACACCAACTACTGATCCACTTGGCGTCTGTGCTCGAGATCTAGTCTCAATCTTCAAGAAAGAAATTCCAATTTTAGCAATTACTCTTGGTAGATGTGATAAGCATTTCCAAAGCCCTGAATCTTAGAACTCCATTAGAATCTAAGGAGCAGGAGTTTAACAAACAATGCTAGCAAGTTCCCTTTGAGGAACACCTTAACTGATGCTGCAGAAGTGAAGTAAAAAACAAACTAGTAGAGGGATGACGAACAGAATTGTTAGTTACAGAGGAATTAGATGTTACCTCCATTAAACTAGCACTGCTAAGGGAATCAAAAACTGCAGCATTGTGGTCTAGAGTGCGAAGCCTTTGAGAAACTGATGACGACCTCCTCTGGTAGCTACCTGTTCCTGATCGATCCATCCTCTACGATATCAACAGATGTCTTAGATCACCACAAAAGTAACTCAGACCACGATATACTACTGTATAAAGACAACTATTATGCCAATCGATAGCTAAAGTTCTAAAAATTGGATCAAGCTTACAATAACTAGAAAAAGATGTAGCCAAGTTACCCTTTCCAAAGATGATCAATGAAACCTGTTTGTTTGGTTCTTAGAGATGATATATAGAATTTTCCAAAATCAAGTACCAACAATCACTTGAAATCTGAAAATCTGAAAATCAAGTACCAACAATCACTTCTTTCTCGTCTTTTAATTAAAATTCAGTAACAAGATGGGCAAGTTTTCTACGCCTGAGAAATTTCCAAACAGATGGGGAAAAGAATAAGAACGAAGAAAGACAGATTAAGGCTCAACCCCACTTTTTTCCCTTACAAGAGACGGAACAGCCGAGTTCCCAACCCATTGTTCACGTTCTGGTAACTTCAAGATTTAAACCTAGAGAACCTCAGATAACCCAAAAAGGTTAGAAAATATATCAAAATGTCATTGTCTTTCATCTTTCATTAGCTTCCTCAGGCAATTGAAAAAAAAAATTGTCTACTACTTAATCATTCCACATCACAACAGTTACTAATTTATCAACAAAAAGTTCGTAAATTACTATCAACAGCCTAAACCAGTCAACATAACAAGAAAACAGTAAATTATCAGGACAGAAAACCTGCTGTGGATTTGTGGTCAACAACAAACATTACTCTTTAACGGTAAAAATCATAAACTAAGCACAAATACATAATTAAAAGCAAGAAAAACCCCACCTCAGAAACAGGGCTATGAGATGGATCAGACAAATGGGGAGGCACAGATGACCTTAACTTCTCCTTCTTCAACATCATCAACTTCTTGTTCCTTTTCTTCTCCTCCTCCAAATTCTCACTCAATTTAGGCGATGGCATCTCATTCATTTCCCACAAAGTAGCAGCCAGCCTTCTGGCAGAGACCGGCCGGGACCTCCCACCACCATTACTCTTCTGAGAAAACTTAGGGGAGTCAATGGCGCTCTTCAAAGGCGTCATTTTCCAACTTGGCACTGGCGTGCTGGATCTGGACCCTCCGAGCCCGATACCTCCTCTAGCCTTCTTGCCCACCAAAATGGCCCGCTTGAAACGGTAACTGTGAACCTTTGATGACGAAGATGATGATGTCGAGCAACCCCTTTTCCGGATCTTGGGTACAAAATCCCCCATTTCCATCATCCCTCGGTTTTGCTGCCTCTGCATTGTAACTAGCCCTAATTCTCGATCTGTCACAAAAACTGCTCCTCAATTTATGCTCAAATCTCCTTCTTGATCTGTTATAACAAGTACAAGACAAAATATCAATAACGTAGGAAAAACTAAGTTGTGGAATAGAAGCTCATACAATTTTGTTGATCGAGTGCCGGGGTAGTATCACTTCCGTTTTCAGTCAAGTTTCAAATTTTAACTTAAAAAGAACTAATAGACTATCTCTGCTCTCTCTGGTGATTTGGTGGATGGATTTGTTGGGTTTTTGTCAATTTGGAGTATGTGACCTAAAGTATTGAATTTGATTTTTATGTGGGATGGGAGAGGGGGAGGGCTAAGAAGGTTCAGGGAGAGCAAATGAGTTAAATTTGAATTGGAAGGAAAATTTGAGCAGAGTTTCGAATGAATTAACAAAATGTATGTTTTTAGTATAATTAGCACATACGACGACTAGGACATAGTGCTTCTGTCAAACACTTTGACATGACAACAACGTATTAAGGAGGGTACGCATGATGATGACGATGATGATGGTGTGAGATGATGAGAAGTAAATTAATTCGGGGGGAGCAGAAAAGGAAAAAGAGAGCTCTAAATCGCATGTGACGCTACAATGGTGGCAGGGAATTATTGGTTTCTGCCTCGAATCTCTTTTTTTGCTTTCCTTTTATTTCTTTTTTTTTTTAAATTTCCGTCTGTCACATTTTGACTTGTTGACTGGGGGTTGTGCTGCTGCTGAGCTCCATCATTTTGCCCTCTTCGGCCAGCCTTTCTCTCTCCATTCCGCGCATCCATCCATTTCAAGTCCAACTCAAAAGAGCTTTTTCGTTTTTGCTGCGCATCCTCGACTTGGTACAATGCGGAAGCGAAGGCACTCGCTGTTTGATCTCTCCTCCAAGCACAAGGATGGCCAATCTCCGGTTTGGGCCCCGTTTCGCGGAGAACAAACAGATGCCAATCTTCTGCTTTAGCTTATGTCAGATTATCGGGCAGGCATCATAATACGTAACCTGAGGGTGCTCACCTCGGCCACCCCGCGTGTCCGAGGTGAAGTCACCTCGTCCCTCATCGGAGCCCATCCCTGTCTTGAGCACAATCCCAGAGCCCGGCTTCATCCCTAGTCCACCGTGTAGGTGACCTCGGCACATCCACCTCGGCCGCACACTGATGATGTCAACCTGCCTGACATCTTCCAGGACCAGCACTTTATCTGAAAAGCACGGGAGGCACTTGATGGCACCTGCACCATATCCTCCGTCATCACTCCCAGGCGGCTACAGTGTCAGAGTCAGACTCCCCGACAGGAGACAGAGCCGTAATGTCAGAGTGGGTCCCACTAACATAAGTCCAGAGTCTCGCCTCTACTCTTCTATAAATACCTCCCTCACACTCCCACCAAGTAAGCGGACACTGTTCATTAACTCATTCTCATTATTCTTGTTCTCATACTAACTTGATCGTCGGAGTGATACCAGGGGAGAAGCCCCGCCACACACTTCGGACGAGGAGGTTCACTTCGGACACAGGAGTTCACCTCACTTCATCTCAGAGAGGACTGATCCAGGTCGGTCTAGTTACCAACCGAAAATCACCTCCTCAATTGGCGCCGTCTGTGGGAAACGAGATTACTGTTACTAAAATGAGATCCACGCGCTCCAGAAGTGGTCGAGTTCCCTCAACTGGGGTTGGGCAGACCTCGGGAGCCCAGCAAGATCGCATCTCTGAAGAGCAAGGGTCCCCGAGGACCCAGCCTGACAACGAGGAGGCCATCGCCAAGATGGCCGAGTTCGTATCACACAACCCTACCATTTTTGAGGAGCTAGGAAGGTACCTCAAAAGACAGGGGAAAGAAAAGGCCGAATCTTCCAAGAGGAGGCCGACGAAGTCCCCTGAGGCACCTTCAGATGAAGACTCCGATGAGGGGCGTTTCTCTCGGAGTACCTCCAGGCGTGCCTCCTCCAAGGCGACCTCTAAAATTGCCTCCATCTCCCGAGCGTTTTCTCGAGGACTCCTAGGGAAACGGGCCGAGGACCCACCTCGGCGCCCCGGGGGCCTGGCTTCGGACTACATGAGGGCTCCGCCCTTTACGGATGACATCAATGGGGAAAGGGTGCCCCCGAATTTCAAGCTCCCAAACTTGCCCACCTATGACGGCCGAGGTGACCCCGAGGATCACTTCCGCGCCTTCATCTCCGCATTCCGACTCTACTGTGTCCCCGACGCCGTGATTTGTTGGGCTTTCCCCATTTTCCTACATGGGACTGCCCGGAAGTGGTTCTGGAGTTTGGAACCAGGGAGCATTTCCTCCCTGGATGAGCTGATAGACCGGTTCATCCACCGCTTCGTGTCGTCTCGACCAATCACGAAGACTTCAGCTTATCTCTTGAACCTTCAACAGGGTCAGGGCGAGTCTCTTCGCTCGTATGCTCAGAGGTTCAACGAGGAGAATGTGCAAATACCTGATCAGAACGAGCAGGTAACTCTCGCGGCCTTTACCAACGGGTTGGTGGCCGGACTCTTCAACACCGAAATCCATCAGGATTACCCTCGTACACTTCACGAACTCTGGGAAAGAGTGGACCAGGGAATCCGAAGTGAAGATGTGAATCGCATGAAGCGAGAAGCCCAAGCCTCTCGTACGGGACAAGATGCCCGGAGAAGGAAAGACATCGGCCGAGGTGAACCCGGCCCAAGTGGCACTTCAAACCCACCACGGGACCGCCGGAGTGTCTTTGACCGGATCGTGAAAGGAAGATCTTCCACCTCGGACGCTGAGCTAACACCGCTCAATTCCAGCCGATCTCATGTCTTGGCTGTGATGAGGCAGAACCACCTCGGCCGAACACCTCCTGAGATCCCTGGAAGAAGAGATAGGAGGAACTCCAGCCTCTACTGTGCCTACCATCGAGATGTTGGGCACGAGACCGAAGACTGCAACGATCTGAAACGAGAGATCGAAAATCTAATTCGGCAAGGACACTTGAAACAATTTGTCCGCAAAGATGGAAACTTCGGACGAAGTGCCTCCCACCGGGAGAGCCGAGGTCCTCGCCGAGAAGACAGGCGGGACACCAAGTTCAACTGCCGAGGTCCTGAGGACCAGAAAGGGGACCAAAGGCCTCCACGCGACGGGTCACCAGGCTATGGTCCCAACATTGCCGGGGTGATCAACACCATCTCAGGTGGTCCCACGGGAGGAGACAGCCAGAGCTCCCGAAAGCGGACCTACCGCCAAGCCGGCATGGATGTGGCCGAGCCGAGCTCGAGGCTGTCCGAGGTCATAACTTATGGTCCCCGCGACCCTGTCCCCGCTGCCTCCAGCAATCACGAGACCCTCGTGATTGAGGTCCTCACAAACAATTATATAGTCAAGAAGGTCTACGTTGACCCCGGAAGCTCGGTAGACGTCCTGTACTACCGAACTTTCGAGAGTTTGAAGCTAACCCGAGAACAACTCACTCCGGTCAGAACTCCCCTTGTCGGCTTCGGGGGACACGTCGTCCACCCGGAAGGCATGGTGAATTTAATGGTGACTATCGGGCGTCATCCCCGTTGCCGAACTGTGCCTGTCAGCTTTGCGGTGGTCAAAACGGACTCTCCTTACAACATGCTGATAGGCCGGCCCACGCTCAATGCCTTGAGAGCCGTATATTCTACCTACCACCTAAGCTTCAAATTTCCAACACCAGAGGGGGTGGCTGAGGTGAGCAGTGACGTGGGCGCCGCCCGAGAATGCTACCTTGCCACCATCCAAGCCGCAGTCGGACCTCAGCCCCCACCGAGGTCAGAAGAAAAGAGGCCGGCTGTCCTCTCCATAGACTGCATCGACCCTCACAAGGCAGGAGAGCCCAGCAGGCTTGAGCCAGGGGATGAAGTGGAACAAGTGGTCTTGGATGAAGCCAAGCCTGACCGAGTGGTCCAAGTAGGGGCCGGACTCCCTTCACCCCTGAAAGAAGAAGTGATCTCCCTGATCAAGGACCACCGAGACATCTTTGCGTGGTCCGCAGATGAAGTGGTCGGAGTGCCACCCGAGCTTATGACTCACCAACTTAACGTTAACCCACAGGCCCGACCTGTGCGGCAGAAGCGAAGACACTTCGGCCCCGAACGCAGCAAGGCCATATCGGACGAGGTCGACAAGCTCTTGCCGGCCAAGATGATCCACGAAGTCCAATATCCGACTTGGTTGTCCAACCCAGTCATGGTCAGAAAGGACACCGGCGGATGGAGAATGTGTGTAGACTACACCGACCTCAACAAGGCCTGTCCCAAAGACTGCTATCCCCTCCCGAGGATAGACACCCTCGTCGACTCGGCGATGGGGTACGAGATCCTGTGCTTCCTAGATGCCTTCAAAGGGTATCATCAAATAGGAATGAGTGAAGAGGACCAAGAGAAGACGGCGTTCTACACCGACCGAGGTGTTTATTGCTACACCACCATGCCGTTTGGGCTGAAGAACGCCGGGGCGACCTACCAAAGGCTGATCAACCGGCTCTTCAAGAATCAGATCGGCCGTAATGTGGAGGCTTACGTGGATGACATCCTCGTCAAAAGTCTCGCCATTTCATCCTTCCTGTTAGACTTGAGGGAAGTCTTCGGGGTCCTGCGAGACTCGAGGATGAAGCTGAATCCCAAGAAGTGCGTCTTCGGCGTCACCTCGGGAAAATTCTTGGGGTATCTGGTTTCCCATCGGGGGATCGAGGCCAACCCCGACAAAGTCAAGGCCATCCAAGATATGTCCCCACCTCGGAACCTCCGAGAAGTCCAAAGACTGAATGGACGCCTGGCCGCACTGAAACGCTTTTTGTCTCAATCTGCTGAGAAGGCCCTGCCCTTCTTTAAAGTGCTGAAGAAGTCTGATCAGTTCGCCTGGACTGAGGAGTGTCAGTCTGCCTTCGACCAGCTGAATCAGTACTTACACCACCTGCCCACTCTCGCTTCACCTCGGCCCGAGAAGAAGCTCTACCTCTACCTCTCTGCAGCCGACGAGGCTGTCAGCGCTGTGCTCATCCGAGATGAGGGCACCCAAGTGCCGATCTACTACGTCAGCCGCGCTCTTCGCGGGCCGGAGACTCGATACACTCAGGTGGAGAAACTGGTGCTGATGGTCCATGCCGCTCGGCGGTTGAAGCCCTATTTCTTAGCCCATCCTATCTCGGTCAGGACTGACCAGCCCGTTCGACAAATATTGGTGCGACCCGAAACTTCTGGTCGCCTCACCAAGTGGGCTGTCGAATTGGGAGAATATGACTTGTCCTACGAGCCACGCACCGCCATAAAAGCTCAAGCTTTGGCTGACTTCCTTGCCGAGCTCACCTTCACGGAAGGTCCGGAGTCCACCTCAGCCTTAGCCGAGGTGTCCTCCTCACCCCAGTGGACATTGTATGTCGATGGATCCTCCAACGGAGAAGGCAGCGGAGCCGGATTTCTCCTGGAAGGACCTCAGGGAGAGGTGTGCTCCTACGCCCTCCGCTTTGGCTTCCCAGCCACCAATAATGAAGCCGAGTACGAGGCCTTAATTGCTGGACTCCAGTTGGCCCGAAGGCTCGGCGCCCAGCAAGTCCACGTCCGCAGTGACTCCCAACTTGTTGTGCACCAAGTTCTTGGTGAATACGAGACTAAGGATGAGACCATGCAAAGGTACCTCTCCAAAGTTCACCAACTCACCGCATACTTCAAGTCATTCGAAATCCAAAGAATCCCCCGGTCCCAAAATAAGCAAGCCGACGCCATATCCCGGCTGGCCTCCACTTCATTCTCGGACCTCAACAAGACGGTTTTAGTGGAAGTTCTGAATGAACCAGGATATGTGGAAGAGGTGGCCTGCCCCGTCCACTCCGAAGATAATTGGATGACCCCGATCATCCTCTTTCTGAGTCAGGGAACCCTTCCCGAAGACCGAGCCGAGGCAAGGAAGATACAACGCAAGGCTGCTCGACACGCTCTCCGCGATGGAGAATTGTACAAACGCTCTTACCTCGGCCCCTGGCTGAGGTGTGTCACTCCCGAGGCCGGACGTCATATCCTCCACGAGATCCACGAAGGCCTGTGCGGAGCTCATGTCGGCCACAGGATGTTAGCCAAGAAGACTATGCTCCTTGGATACTTCTGGCCATCACTTCGGCAAGACGCCCAGGACCTCGTTCTCGGCTGTCCTTCCTGCCAAGTCCACGCACCCGAGCATCACCATCCCTCAAATTTCATGGTCCCCATCACTTCACCTTGGCCATTCGAGCAATGGGGGACAGATATCATAGGTCCTTTCCCTAAAGCGGTCGGGGGCTATACCTTCCTGGTGACGGCTGTGGACTACTTCACTAAGTGGGTCGAGGCCGAGCCACTTCGCACCATCTCGGGGCTGGCCATTCAGAAATTCTTTTGGAAATGCATTGTCTGCCGCTTCGGCATACCTCAGATCATCATCTCGGACAATGGGAGACAATTTGCCGAGAACCCATTCAAGACCTGGTGCGAGAACCTCGGCATCAAACAACACTTCACTTCGGTAGGCCACCCCCAGGCCAATGGTCAAGCAGAAAACTTCAACCGGACTCTCCTGCATGGCCTCAAGACCCGACTACACCGAGCTGGGTCATCTTGGGTGGAGGAACTCCCCAGTGTCTTGTGGTCGTATCGGACCACGCCGAGGTCAGCGACTCAAGAGACCCCATTCTCCCTGACCTACGGAGCCGAGGCTGTCATCCCGGCTGAGATCCTTACCCCCACCCCTCGGCTGGCAGCCTATGCCGCCGAGGTGAACGACGAAGAGAGGCTGCTGGACCTCGACCTCGTCGAAGAACGAAGGGATCTCGCCTCCGCCCGGATAGCTTCTTATAAGAACACACTGGCACACTATTACAATGCCCGGGTCAGACATCGTAGATTCCGCCCTGGAGACTTGGTTCTCAGGAAAAACTCAGTCAGCCGAGCTGAGCCTCAAGGAAAACTGTGCCCAAAATGGGAAGGCCCCTACCGAGTTGTGGAATCTGACCCTAAGGGGTATTGTAAACTGAGTTACCGAGATGGCTCATTAGTGCCGAGGTCTTGGCACGCCGAGAACCTTAGGTTGTATTATGCTTGAAGTTGTGACTTCATTCAGTTGTTTCATCCAATTATCTTGTCAAGTTATGACTTCAGCTATTTAGTTATTTTTCAACGATATGATGCCCAGCATCTTTTATTAAAAAATAAGGGGGACAAACAAGGGATGAAGTCAAAGCAAGAAACAAAAAGCGCTGAGATAAGAGGAAACAGACTTTCATTTAACAGAAGTATTACAAAAATTACAAGGCCGAGATCGGAGTGCTACTAAACACTTCACCTCGGCCACCCCCTTGAAGCCTACAAGCCTAAACCCCCGTATCGGCTGCATCCCCGGTCTTGGCTCCCTCCTGGGCATCCATCTCTTCGGCCTCCTTTCCGCCGGGGTGAACTTCATCTCCAGCCTCTTTGCCGACGTCCCCTCCGGCTTCGTCTCCCCCGGCATCCTCTCCAGTTTCTTCCTCTTCAACCCCCTCGAACACTTCGTCGATTTCGTACAGCCATTTGTTGAACTCGGCCTGGACCTCGGCCAGGTCCCTTCCAGCCTGGAGGCCCTCAGCCATCCGGTCGCACAACTCCTTGGAGTTCTCGTTGTAACTGGTATGATTTTTCAGAGACTCCAAGGCTTCGGGAGCGAGATGAGCTGCAGCCTCGTCTATGGCTGATGTGAAGCCAAACATGAAGTTCGGCGTGAGCAGTTGGCCGAGATCCCTGGTGAAGGCCTCAGACCTCCGGAATTCGTCCACCGCCGAGGCTCCAGCACTGTCAAGGGCTTGCTGGTGGGACTTCTTCGCCTCGTCCCCCCTCTTCTGCTCTTCTTCGAGAGCCGATCTGAGACTGTTGACAGTAGCCACGGCCTCCTCATCCTTCACCTCGGCCTCCTTAAGCCGCCTTTCAAGCTCGGCCTTCTCAGACTCGGACACCGCCAGTTGTTTTCTCCAACTTGGAGATCTGATTCTGTAGCTTGCCGGTGTCCTGCTCATCGACCAGAGCACAATATCGGTGTGCCATCTCGGCCGCGAAGGCTGAGGTGGAAGCCGTGGTCACCATCAGACTTTGAACCAGTTCGGCCGGGCTCAGCTTCTTCATGAACTCCAAATCCCTTGGCAGAATGGAGTGCATTATTAGCTCTTGAGCGACCCGAGGGTGTTGGCACCTGTCGTTGACCGAAATCTTCCAGTTCGGACACCAATGATTGCCGGAGTGCGTCTTCTCGTCTCCGGAAAACACTGGGGGGCTATGGAAACGATTCCATAGCGAGGTCCCCGACACCGGATTAACCGGAGGCTTCAGCTGCTTGTCTCGGCCAGAAGGAGGTGTGACTATTTTAACAACTCCAAGGGGAACTCCCTCTGGCGCAGACGAGGTGGACCCAGTAGCCGTAGTGGCCGAGCTGCTCTGGCCAGCTTTGGTGGAAGTGCCTTTGGGCGCTGAAGTCTTAGCGGCTGGTCCTTGTGACTTCTTCTTTGGCGGAGGCGCCGACGTCTCGTCCGAACTTTTCCTCTTCTGCCTCTTGGCCACTTCGGACGAGCCGGAGACGACGAGGTCAGACAGTTTAGTCACTGCACAAGGAATAAATATTATCATATGCCTTAGCCGAAATGAAAAGAAAAGCCATGAAAGAAAATTACAAGGTTTCTCAAGTTTAATGGAAAAGAAGGGAGTCTTGGTAGTGTTGATCACGGCTCGACTTATCCCTCCATCTACGAGCACGGCCTCGGGGTAGTCATGGCTGAACAGCCGAAGTCCCGACTTCATCAGCTTCTGGAAGGACTCCTCTTCGGCATCCCCGGCAGAGGGGTCGGCCTTCGCCTTAATTGGCCTCCACCAAAAGCCCCTCGGGAAGTCCACTCCGGACACGAAGAAGTAGTCGCGCTTCCAGTTCTTGATCGAGCTGGGAGCACCGATCACCAACTTCGGGATGGCATTGTTCCTGTTGCCAACATAAAACCATCCCTTGTCCGACGCGTGCGCCTTGAGGGTGTAGCATCGGCGGAAGAGATCGACGGAGGGAGTCACCTCCTGATGTCGGCACAGCATCTCGAACCCCACAATGATGCGGATCGCATTCGGGGTGAGCTGGGTGATTCTCACCCGGAAGTGACGAAGTAAATCTCGGAGGAACCTCGACGTAGGCATCCTCAGCCCGGCCTCCAGCTGTTGAACGTAGACGGCCACCATGCCAAAGGGGGGCTCCGCGGCTGTGTCATCCGCCTCGGGCGGCAATACTTCGTACCACGGCCGGAAGGGGTACTTGTCTACCACCCTCATAGCCCTATCTCTTCCTACGCGACTCCTAAACTTCGGCATCTGGCCGAAGTCGATGTCGGCTACGTCCACTGGAGCAACTGGCTCCGGTACACCCTCGTCATGGGGTATCTCGGTCCCGAGCTCGGTATTATACTCCACCTCGGAGCCGCCCTCGCTGATCTCGGACGATTCCAGTTCCGAGGCTATCTCTCCGGCTCTCACCTCGGTCGATCCTTCCTCAGAACTCTGTGCCGACCCCTCCGAGCTGGACGTCGTTGCTTCTTCCTCAGGATCCGCCCTCACCTCGGTCTGGTAGCTCGGGGTCACGGTTTCTTTATGGGTTTTAGCCGTTTTGGCCATGAGTGAAAGACGAGATAAGAAAGAAAAGGGATACTTACTATCGTTTACGGAACTGGACGAAATGGATGACTTCGGCTATGATCTCGGCTGGAAAAACTGACCTCGGCAACACTCGCAAATTTTGCAAGTCACAAGCGAAGAAAGAAAGTGATGGGCCATGCGGTGAAAGGGACCACCTATTTATAGGGGATGGCCAGAATCCGAAGAGGCGGCAAGAATACGAAAAGACGACCACGATCGAATTCGAAACGCCACGCCTCTCTCTCTCCTCATTAATGCCCCGTCCTTTCGACTGATACCTTCTGCACGAAACGTCCCACTACTTCACGACGCGACGGTTATCAGTGACCACGTCCTATCAACTGATTCGCCCACGTGTCACGTCCCCGCATCTCCCGGAGTAGTTTTGGGACCCCGACTCTTCACGACTTCGGCACAAAGAAGCCTCGGTACCTCCCTGGCCCGAAGCCCCGAGGCTTGGGGGGCTTATTGAGGGTGCTCACCTCGGCCACCCCGCGTGTCCGAGGTGAAGTCACCTCGTCCCTCATCGGAGCCCATCCCTGTCTTGAGCACAATCCCAGAGCCCGGCTTCATCCCTAGTCCACCGTGTAGGTGACCTCGGCACATCCACCTCGGCCGCACACTGATGATGTCAACCTGCCTGACATCTTCCAGGACCAGCACTTTATCTGAAAAGCACGGGAGGCACTTGATGGCACCTGCACCATATCCTCCGTCATCACTCCCAGGCGGCTACAGTGTCAGAGTCAGACTCCCCGACAGGAGACAGAGCCGTAATGTCAGAGTGGGTCCCACTAACATAAGTCCAGAGTCTCGCCTCTACTCTTCTATAAATACCTCCCTCACACTCCCACCAAGTAAGCGGACACTGTTCATTAACTCATTCTCATTATTCTCGTTCTCATACTAACTTGATCGTCGGAGTGATACCAGGGGAGAAGCCCCGCCACACACTTCGGACGAGGAGGTTCACTTCGGACACAGGAGTTCACCTCACTTCATCTCAGAGAGGACTGATTCAGGTCGGTCTAGTTACCAACCGAAAATCACCTCCTCATAACCAAACAAATAATTTGACTCAAGAAAGTAGGAGATTATATGAAGAGCCGCCCATGCGTTATTCCTCAATATTTCAAAACTAGGATATAGCCCCAATCTAACTCTTTCCATCTTCTCTTGGCGTGGACGGAAGACATTAATAGCACCTTGCTACCCCCTTCGGGCATGGCATCAAGAAGGCATGAATTCCTTCAAATACAGCCCAAAAAGATGCGATGCACCCTTGCGAAAGTGGACAGACCCAAAGTCCAACACAGTAATAGGTCGTCCAAGTGCACCGGTACAAGCAGCGGAGTGAAGCCTGATGGGTGGCAGCAACTGCTTGCAAAAGGGATTGAGGTCAGTCAGACCCGCTTGTGAACTTTTGTGCCTTTTCCTCCCAGAGAATGGAGGTAGACGCGTTGAGTTGAGAACTAAACTATCGTAAGCTGAGTTAAGAACAGCGGCACACCCTTTAGATCACGTGCATACAAGCAAATTTCAAAGAGATCGAGTACAGAACTTCATTCGCGAAATTTTTCATTTGGGTTGGGGGGTTAAGCATTTAAGGACAATTACAACTGATTTTGAAAGACAAGAAGCATAATCCCTATAAGTTGGCACATAAAAGTTCTAACACCTCAGACAATGAACCTTGCTGACATGTACACAACATCTCTCGGGGTCGGGGTTTTAAGGGCAGTAGTCTGTCATTTCACCTACTGTAAAATAAGCAACAAAATGAGGTTCCTTCGGGTCAGTTTACGTGTCAGGACGACTCTGTCCTAAGTTATTGCAGCATTTTAGTGGCCACTGCCATCTGATGACATCTCCTTGCACATTCTGAAACTGTGCGAGTCAACTTTAACGGGTTCCAGTCCCAGCTACTATGCTTCCTGACATTTCCATAATTAAAACAAATTACTATAATACTTGAATCAAAGGCTATACACCAGAAACGTTGATAAACATATGAAAAACTATCTACACAAATTATTAGAACTGATACCTCTTGCTCAGACTTTTATTTTTCCAATATTGGTATTTTAGGCTTAATTTGGGTGATGCAATTTGTTTTTCTTGCTTCACTTTTGGCCCCATATTCTTGAAATCTGTAAAGTATCAGCACAAAACCATCCCTAACATCCTACTTGCAAAACACGTGATCACCCCCCCAAGTGAGCAACTATGTTTCTGTCATTAACCCACAAAAATACTCATTTTAGCACCACGTTCATGCAAAACAAGCAAGATCAAAATGCCAATAGAAATACAAAAATGAGCAAATGAAGCACGGAAGCAAAGTATTTAGGCCCAAGACCTTTCAATTACTTTCCTGGTTAAATCATAAAAGTTGACTAAAAAGAGTTCTCAGAAATGCTATGTTTAATTATCATAAGCATCGCGACGTCTCTTGGTTCTGATTATCAAAAAGGCCAATCTAGTGATTAGCACCGGATAGCCATGACTAGTAGATCAAAGGAATTTACATATTACCAAATTCTCACTGGCTTAAACACACCAAGCTTATCCTGATATAGCTTGCAGGACCTCCAGAAACCATTGTCCTTATTTGCCATCTGTAGATACAAACAAGCTCACTCAGATAAGTCTGAGCGCAAGCCAAATATGAAATTCCATAAAGCAGATGAATTAAAAGAGGACTCACTTGATGGTATAGAAATGCGGAGATGCCATGGACTAATAAATTTGTATCTCACCAAGAAGAAGTGATCTAGCCCGATTGATTGCAGCAAAGCAGAGACACAAGTGTTCATCAAGATCTGTGAGCTGCTGCAAAAAATTTGAACGGGTTTTGCGAAGCTGCTTCACAACCTCCTGGATAGAATGCCTGTCCCTGCCCCTCTCCAATCCCAGTCGTATGAGAAGCTTGTCACCCTCAAATGCCATGTGCAGACGGGCCACTAGGCGATCAATGGTGTCTAAATCATTGTGGAGAACATAAGTCCCCTTTGCAGCAGCATCAAGCTGTGCCAGATGGGACACCTCTCTCTTACTCACTTTGGAAGGAAGGCAAACAGGACATAGGGGGCTGGCAACAAGGGCAGCAAAAGCATGAGTAGCTACAACCACAGCCGATATAACCACTCCAACCGTAGCAGCAAATAGGCAAACGACAGAGCCTCTAGTAGCATGATGAAGGAGGCGTATTTTCGATCTTGACTTATGGAGACGGTGGTCAAGCTCTTGTCTCAGCTGGGAGAAGCAATGACGCATATCATCAAAGTTGTATGAACCAGGGCTGGGAAAGGGGTTGTCAAATTGGTCAAATTGAAGAAAAATGTCAAACACCCTGTCACATTGGAACTGTGACAGGGAAGGAGCACCATTGTCCAAATCTTCAGGTAGGATGTCAAGAAGGTTATCAAAAGAGGCATAAATCAGTCGAGCACGATGAACACTTCGGTGAATGAAAAGGCAGAGTCGCGAAGTGGACTCACTGTGCTTGAAGTAAGTAGCAACAAGTTTGGTTAGAGGGCTCAGCCTAATATGGGAGAGTGCCTCTGAAACAAACTCATGACTCGGACGGAGGACCTGCTCTAGCAGCTCAGATTCCTCAAGAAGCTCCACCTGCCCTACATCAACCTTTTCATTGTAATGGCTGTCATGGTGAATTTTAGACCATATCTCACTGTAGGAACTGGTTTGAACAGCGCAAGCGTATTCACGAGTCAGATTGACAGTTGGAGAGGGCTGAAAACTAGAAGCTGCCGTCCCATCCACAGATCCTGTAGTTCAAATCGACAATATTGCATAAAAATCAATAGAGAGCTCACAAGGAGAATGTCAACGAGTTGAAGGTTGGTTGGACAAGTTTACCTTGGGAAAAGGTTGGGGAAGCATGGCTGTTCGTAGCTGCAGTTGACGGTGAAGGCCTCAGACAAGGCAGCATTTGGCCTTGTCCTTTGACGAAGACGACTAGAGATCATGAGCACATTACAGGCTGAAAAATATGCCCCATGAGCCAGGGCAGGAAAAAGCAAGCTAAGATAACCAAAACTAAAAACTTGACTCTTACACTAAGATATAATATTCTACAACCACATGGATAAAGCACATCACAAGTGAGAGAACTGATACCGCAGGAAGACAAAACAGATACTAAACATTAAATTCAATCTCATCTCAATAGGTTCTGCAAGGTGACAAGTTGTAGGGGCATAGGGAAACTCCAATCTAATCATGCACAAAAGCTTAAATGAAAATGCTCAAAGCATATCAAAATCAGACCCATTTTAAAGCAAAGGAACTCAATTAATCTAAGCACATATCAGTTTCTATGCCAACAAAAAATGATCGTGACAGTCAAAAAAATAAGCCAGTTTATATTTGGCTCGAGACCATAATTCTTATTCTAGCAATCATAATTTCAAAAGGCAAGTATACAAGCGCATCTGTTAGCTACCTTGTACTTGTTCAATTATTAAAGCCAATTTTCTGGAGTTCATCTCTCAGAAACCACGCAATATTAGGGACAAATAAGACCTCAATATTAAGGCCCAATTAAGAAATCTTGCTGGATAGCCAACTGTACTCAAGCCCCATTGAATTTAGGGGGTAAAATTGTTTTTGGCCACAATGTTGATAAATACTTCCCGAAGGTTTTAGGGTTTATAGTGAAAAAACCAAAATATCTGTTTCTTCGGGCATTGGACAAAGAAAACTTTTACAGACATTTCCAAAATACCCAAAAAGGCTAAAATTTCCTCTGAATAACCAATTGCTAGTAACATGAAAGCGAAGCAGAAAAGTTGGCATATCATCGAACAAAACCCAGAACCAAGAATCCAACTTAAATCCAATCGAATACTGGAGGCAGAAGGACAGCATAACGTGAAAAATGGGCTTAACCAACCCAAACCCAGTGAAAGGATCCATTTCTATCCAATAGAGACGACATACAAATGCAAACATACTTGAAGTGAATAAGCTTAATTAGAATAATGGGGTGGATGCTCATACCTGGTAAGAGTAGTAAAAAGACTGAATCTTTCAAGCTCAATACTGAATGAAAAAACAAAGAAAGAACTCAAAAAGAATTTTGGGTGGGTAAATGGTACGGGAGGGGAGGGGAGGGGAGGTAGAGGGTGAACGAAAGAAATTAGTCGTCAAGGAGTTGCCTGAGGCGAGCTTTGATGTAATCCTTACGGGCCTGAGTGCGGGCTTGTTGAGGGGCGATGTTAGTAAAGGAAAGGTAGGCCCCAACGGCGAAGAAGGAAGCACCGGTGACCAAGCCGCAGACCGTAAAAGTTAACTGCTTTGGTGTGGGCGGGTACGACCATAAGACCATCTCTCTCGCTCTTCTTCTTCTTCTAGTTTGAGGAAGGCAGGGACTGGAAATATGGAAGTCCCTTATTTTCAATTGAAGTGAAAAATTGTTGCGGCGAGACAAGTTCCTTTTTTTTTTTTTTTTTTCAAATAAAGTAAACTTTTTTTTTATTAGAGGAGAAAATGAAACATTGAAACCCATGTGGTGTGCTTGACTTTTTTTTTTTTTTTTTTTTCTTTTGTCAAATGTCAACTAGTATGTATCTGTGGTGTGCTTGACTTAAGCTAGTGATTGCTAGTTTGCCGCTGCATCTGCAGCCGGTGTCCTCTTCCTCTTCTCGAGTGACTGAGTACTCCCCATTTATTTTTCATTTTTCTTTTGAGTAAATTTTATATAAATTGTTATTTAGTGTACAAATTATCACGATTAGATGAATGAGACGTGAGCAAATTTTGTATTTTAAATTCAAATTTTATACATATATCATATATCTAATAGTAAAGGTGTATACACTGATGGTGTATATAAGATTAATCCTGACAGTGCATACATTATTACCATTGAATCTATAACACATGTACAAAAATTGAATTATAAATTTAAATTTTACATAATTGTCATTCATTTAACACTGACTGTCAGTGTAGAAAAGATATCCTTTCTTTTTTTTTTTCTTTTTTTG